TTTTCCTGAAAAAGGCATTTCATTCCTTTGATGTCTGATTATAGGACTTACCTCAATGTTGTGTGTATGTTCTGCTTTGTGTCAATTTGTATGTGTGGACGAATCCTAATGTTCCTAGGTTAAGGAATTCTGAAAATGAAGTATGGTCTTCTTCTTCTTCTTCTTCTTCTTCTTCTTCTTCTTCTTCTTCTTCTTCTTCTTCTTCTTCTTCTTCTTTTCATTATTTCAAGACTGGGTTTCTCTGTGTCGTTTTGGTGCATGTCCTGATCTTGCTCTGCAGACCAGGCTGGCCTTGAACTTACGTAGATCTGCCTGTCTCTTCCTCCTGAATGCTGGGATTAAAGGCATGTTGCAACACTGCCTGGCAAAGTATGGTCTTCTTAATGTGCTGTTGAATTTGGTGTGAGCTATATCTCATTAAGGATTTTCTAATTTATGTTAGTCAAGGATATTGCCTGATATTGGCTTCTTTTTACCTTTTATTTATTTAGTTTGAGAATAAGGGTAATGCATCTTTTATGAGAAAAAGTTGAAAATGCTCTTTCCCTCAGACTTATAGGATACTGAAATATCTGGAAAACATTGCTGTTAGATGTTGAGATGATAGAATTCATCAGTGAATTGTCCTGGTCATTGTATGAGTCTTTCTTGATACTCAATACTTTCAGAGTGTTTGATCTAGTTTTATTTCCCAGACTTTAATTTTCTTTTTGACTTATTATTTCCCTCCTTCTTGGATGTATTTTCTATTTTTTATCAGGGGAGGGAGGGAATGGCCAGAGCTTACAGAAGGGCAGTAATGCATGGACAGATCTTTCTTTCAGACAAAAGGTCATTAGTAATGATGCACTGGACATTGAGGGAGTTTTATTCCCACCAGACAAAGTGTGTCTTCATGAACTTCATGGTATTTGTGGGAAAGGAGTTGCTTTAACACCAAGAAGCAGGGTTGGTTAATATGAGACCTATGCTACATGACAGAAAATGGGATCTGAAACTTAGGCTATTTGAAGGGCTCATTGATTATATTCACAGGATGGGTGGGAGGGATATGGTCAATGTGTGACTGAGTGACAGCAATGAATCTGTCTTGGCTTCTGGGAAAGTAACAGGAGTGTGGTGGGGATACATAGCAGCCCTCTTTGCTAAGGGCATTAGTCCTTGGGGCAAGAACGTGGATGGAAAAAATAATTTAATAATTTAACTGAAAAATAATTTAAAAAATCACTTTGGTTTTTTGCCAAGCCATGATTGGTCCATTGCATGTGACATCACACAGAGTCCTTGTGAGGTAAGCTAGATACTAGCCAATCAAAAGGCACTGCCTGAGGCTGAGTTTTGTTTGTACTTCAGAGAATCGGTTGGTTGGTGGGAGAGCAGTTGGACTCAGTTATTTCCCTCATATACTTGACCTTTTCCCTGACCTGTTGGATCTGGACATAGTGAGCTTGATTCCCAATTTCTCAGTTTGGCCTTTTGGCAATTGACTCTTTCTTTCTTTCTTTCTTTCTTTCTTTCTTTCTTTCTTTCTTTCTTTCTTTCTTTCTTTCTTTCTTTCTTTCTTTCTCTTTCTTTTCTCTCTTTCTTTCTTTCTCTTGGGTTTTTCAAGACAAAGGTGCAGCTTTGTGCCTCTCCTGCATCTCGCTCTGTAGACCAGGCTGACCTCAAACTCACAAAGATCCACCTGCTTCTGCCTCCTGAGTGCTGGGATTAAAGGCGTGCGCTACCACTGCCCGGCATTTCTTTATTTACATTATTGGTTTTGGTAGTAATTTTTCCCTGTAATTCCTTTTTATTCATTTCAACTGATTTTCCTTCTATTAACTTCTTTTTGTCATTTTTGGCTGTGTTCTTTTGTATTTTACAAATTTAATGTCATGTAGTAAATGCGTAGGATGAGGAATTTGATCATGACTGATATCTGGCTGTACTCTACTTTGATCATATTTATCTGCGATACTTCACTTCCTGGTCCATTACATTGGACAATTACTTCCTATTATACAAAGGCTATGCCTCTGCCTGCTCATGACCTGGAGTGAACAAAATGTTACACTTGTGTTTGTGGAACTGTCATGTTTGTAGTAACACTTTCACTAATTCCAAGTTTTTCCTGAATTAGGCATTCTATTCCACTCATGTCAGATTTAGGACTTACCTCAGTGTTATGTGTATGCTGTGTTCTTTGGCTGTTGATGAATCTTGAGTGTTCCTGGTTAAAGACGTCTTGATCATGAAGTCTGGTCTTATCTACGTGGTGCTGAATTTTATGTGACCTATCAATTTCCCTCATTCAGGTTTTTCTAATCTGTCAGTCAAGGATATTGCCTGATACTAGGATCATTTTGAAATGTCTTATATAGTTTGGAAATTAGGGGAATAACTCTTTTATGAAATGTGCTTGAAACTGTGCCTTCCCTCAGTTTTATGAACTACTGAAATACTTGCCAGTCATTGTTGCTAGTTGTAGAGATTGGAAAGTTGATTTCCAGTGTATTGGTTTTGGCTCCTGGGATTTAGATTTCCTGTGTCATATTTATATTTATGTTTTTCAGTTTTTCTTTATATTTCATCTTTTTTCATACAGTACATCCTGACTGCATCCTCCCCTCCTTCTGCTCCTACTAGTTGCCCCTCAGCTCCTCTCTCCACCAGAGCCACTGCTCCTCTGTTTCCCTTGAGAAAAGAGCAGGCTCCAAGGGATAGCAACTGAACATGGAATAACAAGATGCAATAAGATTATATTAATTTTTTTGTTTTAGTGATAATATATACTTACTCAATAAATGTTACCCAATTTTCATTTTTGAAAATTCAGCCTTTTATTTCCCTTTGGTTTCTTTTCTCCTTTATAGAAAACATTTTTAAATTTATTGGACTAAATAAATATATAAAGCACATAATGTGTATTGTAGGTAACATATATGTATAATATAATATTTATAAATGTGTATAATATAATAGATGCTGAGTATATTATGTATAATTCTACTAGTTAACAGTTTTAATTCATTGAACTATATTACATAATCTTGATCAGCTTTGTTAAGAGTTTGCCTTGTGGCACATCCTTGTAAAGAAGCAGCTCATTCTTTCAGGTATCTCAGGATTATCTTTTGCATGCCAACTTTACTTATACCAATACTGATCTTTCTTATGATTCCTCATCCACTGCCTTGGGTTTAGGTTCTTCTAGTATTTTTATATCCTTGGAGAGCATCATTAGATTGTTTGGGATATCTCAGATCTCATGACAGGGAATTCCAAGCTATATCCTTCCCTCCTAAAACTGCATTAATCTTTTTCTTTTAGCATTGTGTGTGTCTGAGATTGCCCACAAGATAAAGTGGTTGAAATTGAGCAGAACACCATGGGCAGCCACATGGATGAGGACATTCTTGAAAAGGATTTCAGGATGTTAACATCTCTAGGTTGTGGTTCCTTCGGGGAGGTGAAGCTGGCCTGTCACCTTCCCACACATACACGAGTGGCTGTCAAGATCCTTGAGAAAAACACCAATAGTGTGGCTGACATCAGTACTGAAGTGAATATCCTTCAGTCTTTAGAACACAGGAACATCGTTCGATTTTTTGACATGATCGACACACTGACAACCACTTATCTGATTATGGAGTATATGGCAGGAGAAGATCTGGAGAGCTGCCTCCAGGCACTGGGCTGTCTAAAGGAGGAGGAGGCTAGAGGGATTTTCCGGCAGGTGGTGTCAGCGGTCCACTTCCTCCACCAGAGACACATCGCACACCGTGATATCAAATTAGAAAACATCCTAGTTGATGCAGCAGGAAATGCAAAGCTTTGTGACTTTGGTATGGCAATTGAAATCACAGAGGGGCAGATGTTGGAGGAGATCTGTGGCTCCTTGCTCTACTGGGCCCCAGAGATCTTGGCCAGAAAGCCTTATGATGGACTGGCAGGTGATATGTGGAGCTTGGGTATCGTTCTATATGTCTTAGTCACAGGGCACTTTCCATACATGGAAGAAACCCTTGAAGGTATGCACAGGGTCATTACCACCACAATGTGTCCCATTCCCTACCATCTGTCAAAACCCTGTTATTTCATCATTGCCCGACTACTCATGGTCCCTATCTGGTACCGATTCACAATCTGTCAGCTTGTGGAAAGAGCATGGCTGGGCCCAATTCAAGAACATGTACTGCCTACCACCAAAGAAATCCTGCCCAGGGTCGTGGAGACCATGTGCACCATCGGCTATACGTGTGAGGAGATTGTTTCATCCCTAACTCACAGGCGAGAAGATAATCATGTAATGGCTACTTGCAACATTCTCAAATATCAGCTGAGTGGTGGGGACAGCCATCAGCAAGATCAGATGCCCTGGTTAACTAGCAGCCCTGCAGGTCCTGTTCACCTCCCTCTTCCCTTGACCAGGAGAGCCAGTGAACCAGCATTTATAACCGGTACACAAGCTGGGAAAGGTCACTTTAAGGTGGAGTGTGTGGAAGAAAGAGGCGAAATATACAGAAGCCACACCATGCCTCACAGACTCTCCTTCCCAGATGAGCTTCCTTGCTCAGACAACACAGTCCCAGAAAGAGATGCTCTTGTGGCTGATGTCATCAACACTGCTACAGAGGACACTGAAGTCAAGAGGAATTCTGTTGACCCCCTGCCTGGCAATCTCTCCTCGCCTGAATCAGTCTTGGAGGCTACACCCATGGGATTTCTGAACCTGGGCTTCTGTGAAGAAGATTCATCCCAGGGGTCAGATATTCCCAGTGACCAGCCCCAGGTGGCAACCATGACATCTGGATCCAGGCCACTCAGGATCTGGAAACTGGTGAGGAAGCAAATGTCCCATGCACTGAGAGCACTGTGCTGCTGCTGCTGCTGCTGCTGCCTGCCCACCCCAAGGTGAGCCCTGAACCCTTGCATCACGGGTTCAAGGATAAGAGGCACGACAGTGGAGACCTACATGGAGAACAGTTAGATGTGCCACACAGATGAATTCCTACATTGTATTTTCAATATACTATTTCAATATCCATTCTAAATGAAAAGTTGTACCCACTCAGAGGGCCCAGAATTTCAGATATGTGGTACATTAGATGGCAAATTCACAGCTTCCTGTTCATGTAAAGTCCTAGAAGGCTGAGGCAAAAGCAGGTAGCATCGCATGGGGACCACAGCATAGGAAGGGAGGAGAGTTTAGCTAATTGGGGCAAAGGTTCAGAAAGGAGAAATCAGGGGAGGAATATGGCACAGAACTTTCATCTGCCAAAGTCTCTAATAGAGGTGCTTTCATGTTTCTTTCTGCTTTGAAGTGTGGAAACTGAAATGGCCCAATAGAGTTCCAGAACTGGTGAGGAGCCACGGAAGGGACCCAAGACAGATCGCCAGAGTGCCAGCTCCCTCCAACACAGAGCAACAGGCTCCTGCCTGCATTAATCCTCCAGCTATTGGGTCTGAGCTACCAATCTGCATCTCTTTCAGCTCAATTCAGCTTCAGAACTGTTGTGGGACAATTGGGGGTCATAAGGCACATGGACCCCATGACCCTCTACCTTCCTAGCTTTGGTTGTGCTTGTAGGACCACTCACACTTCATGGAAAACAGCAGCCTCTACCTCCAGGAAGGACTTCATACCAATCACGGCTGCTCATCATCTTGGTCACTTTAACCCTCCAACTTACTCTGTGACTACCTTATGGACAAAACAGCAAGACCTGTGTAAATCCTCTGGAGAATGGAGGTGGGTGAAAGGAGATAAAGAGGACTAATTGGGAAGCAATTTTGAGACAGGAATAGGGGACAAGAGAGTTGGTGTAGAATAAGGAGTACAGTCTGTCCTGAGGTACTTCCGGTCAAAAAAGTACATGAAAGAGATGTGTGTGTTTCCCTGTGACAGGGGCCGTGCACAGTCTACAGCAGGAACAAACCTCCCCTCAAGTGCAGACTGGGAGGGAGCTAGGAATAGCCAACAATGAGGAGGAGAGGGCCTGCTCTGATGGTTCCTAGCATGTGTCAAGACACACAAGTAGGATGTTGTCTTGGAAATAACATCCTGTTCTTTCCTACAGATCTGAGGTATAGCAGGAGAAAGATGCAGCAGTATTGGTCAGTGGAGTCCCATCCTCTTCAGTGCTGAGTACGTCCTGTCTGTTAAAGTCACTAAGAGAGGCACTTTCTTTATTCTTTCAGGTTTTATTTGGGGAAAGTGAAATGCTGTACTTGACCTACAGTCTTGGTGTGGTGTAGTGCAACAGGCAGGATCAAGGCTGGAAATCTGTGTCCTGTATGATGATATGTTAGGGCTACAGGTTCCAGTATCCATCCTCCAGGTTAGGGTCTCAGCTGCCATCTTCCCCATTCTTCACCTCACTGCTGCCCCTGAACTGTGGCTGAACATCCCTGAGAGTCACATGTTGCATCGACCCAATGAATGTCTACATCTGTCCTGGTTCCTGTGGAATCAGGGTTCCATGGCATCTAAAAGGGTTGCCTCTGTCAACAGGACAGACTGGCACACAGGTCTCAGGCTTCCCTCTTCTTTGATTCCTTCATCACCTCCAAACTGCTTTCTGACTGTCTTTCAGAAGAACTGCAGGAACTGTAAATCCAGTGAGAGAAGGGAGGATGGAGATAAGGGGGAGGAACAGGGGAAAGGAGGTGTAGAGGATGAAGAGGAAATGAGAGGACCTGTAGAAAGGGGTAGAGTCTGTCCAGAGGAGCTTACCTGAAATGAGTGGAGAAAAGGAGGTTTTGCTGGGGCAGGCATTGAAGAAGTGAGACCAGGAATAAATGTCTCAAACAGAGCAAAATGTGACCTCAGATTTATAGCCAGCAATGAGGAGGAAGGCCTTGATTGTGATTGGCATATGTAAGGTAGAGAACTATGAGGCTGCTTTGGAAGGGATTCTGATTCTGGGCTATTGAAGAAGGGTGTTGCAAGAGAAGGGTGGCTGCATCATGCAGTGGGGTCCTCTGCTGGTCTTGTCTG